GCGCCAAAATGGGTTGTAAAAACAAATTAAAATGTCATTTTAGCTGCATTTTTGCATAATAAATAGTTTGGGGGGGGAGGGGTGCAAATCGAAAGTTTGAGGGGGGGGGGGGGGGGGTACAAATTGAAAACTTGCGCCCGAGGGGGGGCGCCAAATTGACAGTTTGTCCCCGGGCGCGGGAAACGTCGCTACGCCTCTGTCTTCAGATAAGTCTTTCTTTAATCAAATAAACTAAACTAAACAAAGCATACCAGAGAAAGCTAAATCAAAATAGTAACATAGATTACAAGACCATTATCTGTGTGTAATCAAGAATACAGCTAGACACATTTGGCAGGCGAAGTAGAGTTCATCTGCTACAGATACTATGCCCAGCCGCCTATTTCCTTATCATGATGTTGGTACCCATCAGGGTTGTTCTACTGACTTGAATTCGGATTCGAGCTTGATTCTTTCGGGTTAGCAGTTTAACGCTCTACCGCTAGGCCACGCGTCCCATATCCCGCTCAGAGTTTCTTCCAGGCAGATCACCCCCCCCCCACCCCCTACACAAAGAAAGTCTATGCCCCCCCCCCACGAACGAAATGGAATTAATATAGAAAATATATACTTTTACCAGTGTCCGCCTCCACCCCCCCCCCCCCCCACGGAAAATATCAAGTGCCCCCCCCCCCCTGACCCCGGAGAAAAAACTGAAAGAAACACTGATCCCGCTAGGCTAGACTAATATACTGTTCCTACCTCCCACCCTTAAGTTCACTGTCAGCGGTGAAGACTTGTAAATCATTGTCAGTTATTTCTTGATGACGCGAAAGGAAAAAAAAATAACTCCGACACAAGCGCCGTAACTCCCACACAGGGGAAACAATCCACACCCAAGTTACACGTCTTTAACAATCGCAGACAGAAGTTAGATTAAAGTAAATTACTTAAGCAGGACAAATCGAAATTTTTTGGTACTGAATTCAGGAATCAAGATTTCCTTGTTTCTACTGTTAACGGAGGCGTAGCGACCCTTCCGGCGCCCGGGGGACAAACTTTTCCATTTGCACCCCCCCTCTCAAGATTCACCCCCCCTAAAACTTTCGATTTGCACCCCCCCTCGGCGCCCGGGGACATATGTTCCATCCCCCTCGCTACGCTACTGACTGTTAACTTTCATTTTTAAAAATAACTTTTTTCTTGGTCCATACTGATTTCATTTCATACCAGTAACTTCACCAAATGACGTCATCGAACTCCAGTCCTACCCCCCATCCTCCCACAGTAACAATATATCCAACAATACACAACATGATTGAAAGTGTTTAAATAATATAAAATACTAAATGTCTTCAAAAAACGGGTTCTTTGAACCCTCCCCTAAAATATAAATCCTAACCTATGTCAAGATCTTATCACCCCCCCCCCCCCCCCCTCCCTCAATGAATGCATAACGTCATTTCATGAGACCCCACTTTCTGTGCGTAATTTTTTTGACTATAAACTATATTTAGAAATTATGCTGTCATCGAAATATTCCGCATTATACGCTTCTGACAAAAGAATTGTTGAACAACCTTATGTACAAAGAAAAAAAAAGAATTGTAGAAGAAACCAAATAAATAAAGACGAAATCTGTTTGAATAAGATAAGTGCACACTATAGGCTACTGTAGTACACGCATACACCTCACTCAACCGTCAGAAAGGAACGGCGGGGGGGGGGGGGGGTGGAGAACATGGTATAATACTTTGCCCCCGAACTTTAAATCTAAGGTAGGGGTGGGGGGGGGGGGTGAAAATGGGATAGGTGGGAAGTTAGATTAAACAAAATTATAAAGAAGAACGGGCATTGGGGGAGGGGGTGCTGGTGTATTGGTGGAGGGTGGGGTTGCAAAAAACTGGTGGGGGGGGGGGTTAACTTCAGAGGAGGATGAGACATTGCTGACAGAGGAAGGATAGGGGGGGGTGTTATATGAAGGGGAGGGTGGGGTGCTAGCGACTGTATGAGTGTGGGTTGCAAAAAACTGGGTTTTTGGGGGGTTGATTTGGAGGGAGGATGAGGTATTGGTGACAGGGGGAGGATGGGGGGAGTGTTATATGGAGGGGAGGGTGAGGTGCTGGCGACTGTGAGTGTGGGTTGCAAAAAACTTGGTTTAGGGGGAGTTGAATTGGAGGGAGGATGAGGTATTGGTGGACAGGGGGAGGATGGGGGGAGCGTGAACTGGAGGGGTGAGTGGGGCTCTGGAAATGGTGAGAGGGTGGGGCGGTGTACCGCCGGCGAAAGAGACGAGCGGCGGAAGTGGCAGGGGAGGAACAGGTACGTGTTTTTGTGTTGTGTTCATATTTCTGACGGGGGTCGCCCTACAGTGAGTGATGTAATGTGGCCTACAGTTTGTGAGGGGTGCTCGCGCGCGTGTGTGGTGTGTGTGTGTGTATTTCACGTGAATGTAATTCAACTTCATCGCACAGACAGATGAGCGTTTAACGCTGGATTTGTGGAACTATTTTCTGTGTGACTACAGCGGATTTGTTTCGATGTCTGGCGTTTGTGTTTTTTAACTCGTTTGAGTAACGAAATCTGTGAGGAGGGTTTGTTTCAGTGGTTAAAGTGTTAACGGTGTATTTATTATTATTAGTATATTCATTTCCAGTATTTTATTACAGTATTGTTTACAATTAAGGCACTTTTTCGTATGGGATAAAAAGTGATCTGTTAAATAAACGGTAAGTTTTAGTGTTAAGATATAGGGATTAGATTTCACTTTATTATTGGTTATTATTTGCGCAGAGAGCACGGATAAGGGTAGTTGGTAGTATAGTAGTTAGTAGTATAGTTAAGGTTATGGTTTGACAAGTATTTAATTATGGGTTTTAATTAAGTAGATAATTAGACTTTTAGAACCAAGAGATAAGATTAGACTTCAGTTGATCAATGGCTATTATTATTATAGAGAGAAACGATCAGAGTAGTTGGAAGTTGTTATAGATTTAGTAAAGATTAATGGGAGTAGAAAGTAGAAGATATTGTTATATAGTTATTGATAACTTTTTACACGTCATTTTTGTAGAGGCTAGGGTTATGGTTAAATCTTCCTTTTTTTACTTTTTCAAATTGTAAAACTGATTGTTTTGAAATTTCTGATCAACGACTGAATTATACCAACACTCTCTCCACTATAGCAAGATACTCATCAGTGATAAAGTTCACAAAAGTAGTCAAATTTTATGCGTGTAAGCTAGAATATAAAAACTACCAAGACTGCGCATAAACACAATCCCCCTACCTGGACCAAGGTATTTGCTTTAGTGAAGGCTGGTTCACACATACAGACGGTTGTCATGTGTGGAGTATAGAGCTTCTGTTTGGTTTTTGTGTTCACGCTATTCGGAAGCGAATAACTAGAAGAAGAAAACGTATATGTTGCTGTCTATTGTGTGGGACACGTATATTCTGTATACTCTTTCCTAATCAAACGGATAATTTCACGGATCAATAGGGTAAGTAAAGATTAAGATTAGATTTTTAACGCTGAGTTAGGATCAAGTTGGAGAGCTAGTTACATCGAAAACAAAGATGTACCAGTTTTTTTGTCATAATGATGACAATTGTGTGCTGAGATCATCTATGTCGTGGGTTCGAATCCACGCAGATCAGACAAAACAAACGCTAACTTAACACACCAGTGACTAATGCTGGTCTAAACGTCAGTCTACCATCTCCAAGTTGTCCTGGTGTATTCATCAGATACTGGGTACTGTCAATGACACTTGATTACTCTTGTTGTAGTAATAGTAGCACAACACGTACTTGTGTGCCACTAGTGTACTTCTCCTTACTATTGTACTCCTATGCTACAAATGTAATATTGTACTACAATCGAAGGCAAGTGGTACTAGCTTAAAATAAGCAAAATGAAGTGTTTTTCTCTACACAAACATCACCACACAAAAGTAAAGAAAGGTATTCTATCAATACATTAAAATGCTTTAAAAGCATTAATAAACTAAATAATAATAGATAAAATAAGTCTGTTCCTTAAATGAACATCTATTTCATTTATTTTCTTATTTTTGCCTAATTAATGTGCTCTTGTATTGTTATATGTACTTATTTACTTATTATTTAAAAGCATGACAGTTTAATTTATATTTTAAAGCCCATACAAACATGAAAATATAGCCTATATGTAGCTATATCTAACACACACATACATTATATATATATATATATATATATATATATATATATATATATATATATATATATATATATATATATATATATGTATATATAAAGATATACAAGCCAAGAATTGCAAAAAAAACCTCTCATAAGCCACCTTCATCACAGAGAGCAGTTATGTGACATATTCCAAGACGACGGGGTCAAAGGTGAATATATTAATGGGCGTAACGTTGTGTAGCGCCGCGCGCACTACATCAAGAGGATAAGAGAGATGACGTCACGAAACTCGAACCACGAGTCGAGTCTAAATTTAACAGCACTTGTCTATTAAATCAAGACGACGTCATTTTTTTAAAATCGTTGTCACATGACATAGTTGCCTCCCCTTGTGTACATTATTACAATGGTTGAAATCTATGCGATCTCCGGAGATTATGATTAATCCTGTAGATTAATCTGCTCTTAATCTGAACATTCTAAGGATAGGGCCTCTTGAGTTGATGCAACCCGTGATAGTTATCTGCCTTGATTCTATTTTATAGGGCTCTTGTTTTTTTTTTTTTTTACAACTGTACCCAATAATGGAATGTATAAATGTACATGACGCTTGTTAGAATGTTGTTAGGTGGAATCGGTGTTTCTTTCTGACTTTTTTCTCCGTGGAAGGGGGAGGGGGCACTTGAAACCTTCGGGAAGGGGTGGGGGCGGACTAAATTTTTCAGGGGTACAGATACTAATAAAAGTATATATTTTCTATAGAAATTCTATTTCGTTTTTTTTTTTTGGGGGGGGGGGGGGGAATCTGGGGTAGGTAGACGAGTTTTGGGGGAGGGGAGCGCTGAGGGGAGGATATGAAAGAACCACTGTGTGAACTAAAATGAATATTTAATTTCTACCTTCTGCTAAATGTAAATTTTGTATGTCAGGGTTAGCCTACTTTCTATCTTTATCTAATTCTTTTATTTTATTTCAAGGGTTATTCTAAGCACAAAATTAATAATAATGACGGTGAAAGCGATAAAGTATCGAAACGCAAATATTACGTGACTCAGTTTTAAGGCAGCGGTTGACCAAAAATCATTCAAGTGTAATTAAACTACAACAAAGAATCGCATTGCATAACAAAGGCACAGTAATCGATAACAAAAAAATCGACATAACTTTATATCGATACATCGGAACTGAAAATCGATACCAAATCAGCATAATAAAAAAAAAGTTTGTATCGATATATTTCTCTCTAGTTCGATAGAAAAACCGATACTTCACTCTCCTCCTCTTCTCTATATACCCCAGCCCCTCTTCCCCTTCCCTTTTATAGTAGTAGTGTTTGTATTTCCAGAAGTTTCTAGAAAGAAAAAAAAGCAGTACCCTGTGTTGAATGCGAGTGAAAGTAGGAACAAAGACCCGCCGTAGAACAAGAATAAGCCATTTGGCCAAGAGGTTTGGATCCATTCACTGGAAAAATCTGGCCAGTGTTGGTGTGATCCAGACGACACTTTGTTTACTTTTTGATTGGAAACCCGTGTTTCGATAACGTGCATTTATTTTACTTTGACAATCGATTTATATCGGAGTTTGGGGGTTCGATTTCATAAAAAGAATATCGCATAGCTGTTCGATTGATGCGTGATTGATGGCAGAATCGAATTCTGTTTGCGACATTTTTTCGTGGTGATGAGGGACGGGGGTTTTATTACCAGATGTAAGTTAAATCCAATTCAGCTATAGGAGTATGTTGGCCGCGCCATATATCAAGATATAAGTGTAGGTGGGGGGGGGGGGGGGGGGGAGTGTCATTTTGCACTAAAAATAAGACACAAAAAGAATTAAATTTAAATATCCGATTGAACTAGGTATTACACACCTATGCGCTTTTTAATCAATCGAGTTAACTAACTTGTTTTGACGTCACGAGTTATCTCCCTTTAAAACAATCCTGAAACTGCCCAAGTTCATAGTTAAATCTTGTATTAGTAGATACGCCAGTGTGTAAAACGAGGGACAGGAATAATAGGTTCCAGAGCCTGTGAAAAGTTTTGTTATATTTTTACTCCCAGAAAAATACGCAAACGGAAAAAAATTCGAAAAAAAACCTAACTATTTATTCTTATTGTAATACACTTTCATTTTTTTTCATATTTCGTGAAAACAATTTTTTTATTATGCTAATATGTCCATATCATCATTCTTTGCCGCCATTTATAAAAGATCAATTTTAAAAAAAAATTCCAGTGCGCACATTTTTTGTGCGCGGTGTTTTGTTTCGTAGTTATCCTTTAGACATTTTAGTTTTTTAATGAGCATTCAGAAACAATACACTTCTATCTTTGATATATCGTTCCTGAGTATCGCTATGAGAAGTGTTTACCTTGCTTCAATGACTATTTGTAATTCTCTTATAAAATGTTATTGCTTCAATAGATTCGAAGCATTTATTTTTTTCAAACAAGCTTGAAAACTCCATCATTGTATTTCATTCTTAAAATCTTCTTGAATCGAATCTATTGATGCTATTGTTTTTTCAACCAAGTGTGAAAGCCCATTAAAATGATTACGTGTCTATTTTAAAGACATGAACAGGGGGGTGGGATCTAGGATATTGATTGTATAATTAGTTTATCTTTTTATTACGTTTGCTTAGCTGCACATACTAGTTCTAAAGCAATGTTTTAATAAATCTAAATTACAACCATTTATATTGCCGGGGAAAGTTCCCATTTCAAACCTCACGGTCCATGGGCAAATGAAATAGCATTCACTTGTTTCTGTGACCTCGGCATATGAAGGTATAGTGTGGTCAGCACTATGCTCAGCCACCTTTACTTGTCTTGACGTGAGCTAGGTACCCGTCAGAGCTGGGTGGACTTAGCGACGTTCTACTGATTTGAACCTACATTCGATCTCGAGACTTTCGGTTTAGCAGGCTAGCGCTCTACCGCTATTCCACTCTGTCAAGAGTTATGTTTTAATAAATCTAACTTAAAACTATTTATTTTGCCTGGGTAGCAAATTAATACGCTTGGTATAAATATAGAGCAGATGATAAATTTTAAATCTACCACAACTATCACAGACATACTGTGGGGCAGCGTTAACCTATTATAACTCAGAGACTTGGAGCGATTCCTAAACAGTTTCATCATTGAAATCAGCGCTCTTCGTCAGATTGAGAACAGTGAGAATAGTGTTTCTTTCATACAATTTTTTTTCTGGGGAGGGGGAAATCTTGTAAACTTATAGGGGGTAGAGGTGGGTCGAATTAAATTTTCCTTTTTTTTTGGGGGGGGGGGGGGGGGGGGTGGCAGGGGGAGCGTGGGAGTGGGGGAGGGGGAATGTGGGGTGTTTGGTTTGGTTCAAACAGTATAGTCTAATTAATTCAACAATCATACAGTATACTCTAATTAACCCAACAATCAAACATATAGTCTAATTAACTCAAAAACCATATAGCATTGCCATAACAATCGAACAATCTTACACTCACCACTCCCTGCCCCAAACCACCCCCCCCCCCCCCCCCCCCCCCCCCCGAAAAACGTAACCTTTTTAACTACTGGGTTGACAAGCATTAATCTTAAACAAAACACACAAAAAAAAAAATAACTCCAGCTCTCTATCTTCAAGATGTGAACAATTTATAACTCAGCTGTAGGTGCGTGTTCCCGTGCGGAAGCTTATCAAATTCTCAGCGTGGTGTAAACTGGTTGTATTTATTCACGCAGCTGTTGGTGAAAATGTATCGCTCCGCCAGCCACGAAAATGGGCGGTAAATAATCATGTCCTCCACACTAGTGGTTGTCGGCCCTTGACGGTTATGTGACGTTCACAGTTGTGTGACATTAATAGGTGGTGGGGTGGGGGGTGGGGGGTGGGGGGGGGGGCGTTGGAAGCTGTTTGTGTCTAGGGGCGCATGACGGCATCTGCTGTCAGATGACATGTCACGGTGTGTAAGACATCAACTGTCATATGGCATATATGCCACACTGACACGTCACAAACACCCAGCCCCTTTATTCGGACAAACCCCTTGCTGGTATCGTTAGCTGAACAGGTATTTCCGTTTTGTCTCAGTTCTCATTAACCAGGCAATTTCTTGTTAAAGTGTGTGCGTGTGTGTGTGTGTGGGGGGGGGGGGGTTGATAAGAGGTGACCTCAGTCTCTAGAACTCCAGTGATAGTTCTCTATGACTCTGATTTACCAGGACCATAGTATATTGCACATAAAAAAATAATTCATGAACAATTTAAGAAGCTCAACACAATATGCCATGTATATACATCAGTTAGCAATTTGATCATCTGTATATGTT